CGTCACCGTCGTCAGTAACGTGCACGACGACGAACTGGAGTTCACTCGCAGGAAGCTGCTGACGCCGCGGCGCATCGAGCTGTCGGGCCGCGACGCAAAGCTCTACTCCATGGACCCGTGGGTGACACACAAGCCGCTGCCGGAGCACCTCATGGGAAAGGTATGTTCAAATTTTGGTGGGATAATGCCAAATAAAGTCATCAATTTTGTATAGTGCATGTCCTCCTGAGGGTCGCTGGGGGGAGAAGTGGCAGTAAAAAAGCCAAAATCCAAGAGAGTAAAAATAATTCATTTTCCATTTTAAATCCTGCTTTTCATATCCTGCTGCCTGCAGTTTTCTCTACCTTCCGTTTTCCACCCTTAGAATTTGAAAGAACGTTCCATCTAATCATTCCAACTGTGCAATCTTGTTTGTAAGAAGATGTTATCGTTTAAATGGTCCCCTTTTATGAGGAAGTTAGAGCCTCTAGTTTCCCTTTAAAGATGAGTCATATCTTATCGTGGGTGTACAGATGATGCGGTTCCATTTCAGCGGTGTTTCCTTGACGTTCGTTATGTTATCGGGCTGCTCTGTTCATCCTCTCAGATCAGCAACGGCCATGTCCTCGTTGTAATCCACATTTCCACAGCCAGTCAAACCATCAAGGTGTCCATTGACGACACACCGGCGCAGGTACAATCAAGTGTTCGCGCTTCATTTGCTTCGTGAGATCTCACATTTCGTGTTTTGTCCCCGTGCAGGTTTTGTCCAGCTTCTTATCCAAAACGGCAAATAAAAGAGGCTTGCTGGGCATCCCCGACAGCACCTGCGAGACGGACTTTGTGCTGCGCGTGTGCGGCAGGTTTGTTCAAATCGGGTCCGTGATGAAGTTGGTGGGATCGGGTGAATTTTTTTGTTGTTGTTTTTGAACAGGGAGGAGTACCTGTTTGGAGAGAAACCGCTGCGCAACTTTAACTGGATCCGTCAGTGTCTAAAGAATGGCGAGGAGATCCACTTGGCTCTGGAGACGCTGCCAGATCCAGAACTGGATTTGGTCCGTGAAGAGGACTGGGCCCAAGTGGACGATTGCACCGGTGTCGCAGGTAATCGTTTTTTCTCGTCCTCACTGTGACGGACGGTCATTTGGAATAATTGTCGCGATTTTTTTTTTTTTGCATCATCCCAGGCACGCATGAGCAGCTGACCATCGACGAGAAGGACCACGAACGACTGTTCACCGTCTCCATGTGGGACTGTAACAGGAAGTTCCGAGTGAGGGTGCTGGGAATCGACATCCCGACTCTTCCCAAAGTTCCCGACTTTGTCGTGTTCATTGAGGCCAGCATCTTTCACAGTCAGCAGCTTCTCGCTCAGGTGAGTGATACCGATCCATAAACGACACCTGCGCCGTTGTATGGTTGCTAGGCAACCAAAGGCGTACATGTTCTCATTTTTACGTTTTTTTAAAAAAAAACTGAAACAAAAGTTCGAAATTTGTTTTAAACCCATGAACAAACAATGTCAAGGCACACTTTTCGTACTTCAGGAGCGGACGACTCCCAAAGTCTTCAATGAAGAAGTGTTGTGGAACTGCTGGTTAGAGTTTAACATCAAAATCAAGGACCTGCCTAAAGGGTCCCGACTCAACCTGCAGGTAAGGATTCTTTTACTCTTATTATTTTTTTTTTTAATAGCCATTATCATTTTAGATGTATTTGTCAATCAGCATGGCACACCCGCCTCACAGTTCCGAGGTTGAGGGTTCGAATCCGGGCTCTGGCCTTTCTTTGTGAAGTTTGCTTGTTCTCCCCATGCAGCTTCCACCCAGTTCCCCAAAAAAGTGAGAACAATTGGTGCAACGGTATTTTAATTATTATTATTATTATTATTTTTTTTTTTATCAGTGAGTTTACAATGTGTTACCAAAGTGTGTTTATAGCTTGTGGGAGAAGTAGTTTAAGGTGCTCCATCAATTTTATTTTATTTTATTTTATCCATCACATTTATCCTTTATCCTCACAAGGGTTGCGGGGGGCTGCTGGAGCCTATACCAGCCATCTTCGGGCAGTAGGCGGGGGACACCCTGAACCGGTTGCCTGCCAATCGCAGGGCACACACACACACACAGAGACAAACAACCATCCGTTCTCACACTCGCACTTTGGGACAATTTCAAGTGTTCAATCAGCCTGCCATGCAAGTTTTTGGAATGTGGGAGGAAACCGGAGTACCCGGATAAAACCCA